GTTCAGTTGAAGAGTATAGTGGTAACAGACAGTTAATTTGTTTAACCAGGTTCAGTTGAAGAGTATAGTGGTAACAGACAGTTAAATTGTTTAACCAGGTTCAGTTGAAGAGTATAGTGGTAACAGACAGTTAAATTGTTTAACCAGGTTCAGTTGAAGAGTATAGTGGTAACAGACAGTTAAGTTGTTTAACCAGGTTCAGTTGAAGAGTATAGTGGTAACAGACAGTTAAAACTGAACCTGGTTAAACAACTTAACTGTCTGTTACCACTATACTCTTCAACTGAACCTGGTTAAACAACTTAGCTGTCTGTTACCACTATACTCTTCAACTGAACCTGGTTAAACAAACCACTATACTCTTCAACTGAACCTGGTTAAACAACTTAACTGTCTGTTACCGCTATACTCTTCAAAACACAATACTCTTCAACTGAATTTTATTTTAACTAAATGTGCTTTAAACAGTTACATTACACATTATCACTTTAATCTTCAGATGAAACTAGAAATACAGTCTAACTGTTCACTACCATTTTTATCATAAAAATCAACTGAATCTATGGTAATTTTATAATTATTTTCCACACATTTTAACTACAACTTTCAACTGAAAAGAAAATAATAGCATAGCTGTTTATTATAATTTTATAAAAGCTCTAACTGAAATTACGTCAGCGGCAAAAACACTTGAACCATTATGTTCTAATATTGTGTTTTCAAACTGTAGACCGCGACCAATAGTGGTCGGAGAGCAAGACACAATACAACATAAACATAATTATATTTAAAAAACTGTGTATAAAATAATGATCCTGAAATGTTTTGATCAAATAAAACACATACGTGAAATGCTAGAGCATTACTAGACTTTACTGAAATAAATAAACACACATACGTGAAATGCTAGAGCATTAACTAGACTTTACTGAAATAAATAAAACACATACGTGAAATGCTAGAGCATTATTAGACTTTACTGAAATAAATAAAACACATACGTGAAATGCTAGAGCATTACTAGACTTTACTGAAATAAATAAAACACATACGTGAAATGCTAGAGCATTACTAGACTTTACTGAAATAAATTAGAACAGTATCCTAAAGTTGAACATGGGTCCCAGAAGATTGTCTGGCTACTCATGTGGGTCGAGGGTTGGAAAAGTTTAAGAGCCCCTGTTCTAATGCCTCAAAAATAAACACTCACTTAACGACACATTTAAAATATACATAAAACATCTTTCTACTTCGCTGCAATTAGAAATTTTGCCGAATCTAAAATGAACACTATAATTCTATATATATATATATATATATGTTTGTTAAAGATTTGTTTTCTTTTTCACCAGAGTAGAAATTGAAGAGAAGTGTAATATCGGATAGTAAATTCACAAAATGTCATAACTTTATTGACATACCTAAGTTAATTTTGGTTATTATGTGGTAAAGTAAAATGGATTCAAAACTCAATAGATATTAAACACTATAATTGCCATATATCCATTTCCAATATGGTATCCATTTGTGTAAAGTGTTGAATTATTTCAATATGGTATCCATTTGTGTAAAAGTGTTGAATTATTTCAATATGGTATCCATTTGTGTAAAAGTGTTGAATTATTTCAATATGGTATCCATTTGTGTAAAGTGTTGAATTATTTCAATATGGTATCCATTTGTATAAAGTGTTGAATTATTTCAATATGGTATCCATTTGTGTAAAGTGTTGAATTATTTGTTTTCTTTTTTGAACCAGTTAACACTGCAATACTACACAAGAAAAACTAATCCAATCGCACTTACGTTATTTGAAGAACGTATTTGTAGGTTTTTAAAGAATTGATTAACACATCACCTTTTTTTATACCTGTTGAATGTACACATACATACATACATATATATATATATACTTATTACATCACGTTTTTAAGCAGTGATGGCGCTAAAGGGGGTAAGGGAGGCATTTTGCCCACCCAATTTTGTCTTGCCCCAGTTTGCCCCTCCAAAAAAATATTTAATCCTACATTCATGGAGCAAATGTAATCTATATAACAAGAAAACACGTTCGCACGCGCTCTACCGTTTTATGGGATGTTTTTTTTTTGTATACTAGAAGTCGACCAGATATACAATAATAGGCATTCCCTTTAACCCTACTTTTTATGCTAAGGGTACTACTGCTATAAATAGTTATTTATTTAATTAAATAATACTCGAAGAAAAATTATTCATCAATTCACTTTTAAAGGGACTTGTTCCCCCCCCAAAAAAAAGCTAGATATGCTAAAATGATCAAAAATCTTCCGATCCTTTCCAAGGTCCATGAGTGCTTTGGGACTTCACAATTCAATACAAATTACTTTTTGAAACCCAACGTTGTTCAGTGTAATTTAGCACGCTAAAATTTGGGGGAAATAACGAGTCCTTTTAAAACTACACGTGAGTATAACTTTTCTTGTTTTGCCCCCAAAATTCTGGCTTGCCCCTCTCTCAAAAATTTTTTTGATGATGGTGCTGCCATTTCTCCTAAGGATAAACACTTACACAAATATACAGTATAAACACTTACACAGAACACAAATCTTGTGTTCTGTGTAAGTGTTTATACTGTATGTTTGTGTAAGTTTTTATCCTGTGTTCTGTGTAAATGTTTATCCTGTGTTCTGTGTAAGTGTTTATCCTGTGTTCTGTGTAGGTGTTTATCTCTTGTTCTGTGTAGGTGTTTATACTGTATGTTCTGTGTAAGTGTTTATCCTGTGTTCTGTGTAAGTGTTTATCCTGTGTTCTGTGTAAGTGTTTATACTGTATGTCTGTGTAGGTGTTTATCCTGTGTTCTGTGGGGGTGTTTATCCTGTGTTCTGTGTAAGTGTTTATCCTGTGTTCTCTGGGGTGTTTATCAAACACTTACACAGAACACAAAATACACCTACACACAGAACATAGGATAAACACCTACACAGAACAAAGGATAAACACCTACACAGAACAAAGGATAAACACCTACACAGAACACAGGATAAACACCCCCATAGAACACAGGATAAACACCTACACAGAACACAGGATAAACATTTACACAGAACACAGGATAAACACTTACACAGAACACAGTATAAACACTTACACAGAACACAGGATAAACACTTACACAGAACACAGGATAAACACCTACACAGAACACAGGATAAACACTTACACAGAACACAGGATAAACACTTACACAGAACACAAGATAAACACTTACACAGAACACAAGATACACTTACACAGAACAAAGGATAAACACCTACACAGAACAAAGGATAAACACCTACACAGAACACAGGATAAACACCCCCCATAGAACACAGGATAAACACTTACACAGAACACAGGATAAACACCTACACAGAACACAGGATAAACACTACACAGAACACAGGATAAACACTTACACAGAACACAGGATAAACACTTACACAGAACACATACAATAATCGAGACACGTGAATAAAATAGAACTGGGAGAAATTTCATGTATGATCGTTCTTGCCATGCATGTCTGATTTGTTCAGTTCACGAGCTTAAAACACGCGTAAACAATGTCAAACTACTGATGTCTGTTTTAGATTAAACCCATTAAGGCTTAATCGTCGTGCTTACATTGGTTTTTTATTCAGTGCTTTCTTGTCTGCGTAAAGAAAGGCTCGTGCACAACACGGTAGCTCGGCCAACCTTTGCCATTATTATGTGTACGTGGCTCACGTGAGTTGTTTCTCGGCGCGAACAAAGCGACCATTACTTGTATATAATTTATCGAAGTCATTACGGCCTAAGCGGGGTTAGGTTAGCGTAGCTGTGTTGTTTGTTTCAGATCAATCTACGCGACTTCTTATTACCAACCATGATAGGGTGACTTGCTCGCTGTATAGGAGGAACTACTTATATCTCCCATCACA